GGTTTTTTGGGTTTTTATGCAGAGATGACTATTTAACTGCCGACAATGCTCAGCCTCAAGAATTTGTTTATAGCTCTCTATACAGAGCCCTGATGACCCAGTGGTTAAGAGCTTGGCTGCTAACCAAAAGGTTGGCAGTTTGAATCTACCAGGCGCTCCTTGGAAACCCCGGATGGGCCAGTTCTACTGTATTCTATAGGGTTGCTATGAGTCAGAATCGACTAAAAAGCAATGGGTTTGGTTTTTTGGTTTATAGAAACAGAGGAGTCCCCTGGTGGCACAAACAGTTAAGCTCTTGACTACTAACCAAAAAGTTGGTGGTTCAAACTCACCCAAAGGTACCTGGGAAGACAGGCCTGGTGATCCATTTCCAAAAGGTCACAGCCTTGAAAACCCCATGGAGCACAGTTCTACTCTGCACACATGTGGTCATCATGAATCAGAATGACTCAAAGGCAACTAACGGTAACAAACAGGAAACAGCTAAGCCCAAAAAGGCCAGAAAAAAGAGTGAAAGACATTTATTTAAAGGAACAAAGATGAGTAGTAATCCTGGTTTTCCTTCCCAGAAAAGGTTAGACACTCAGGTTCTCCATGTGTCTTAGGCTGGGTTCTCTAAAGAAGCAAAACCAGTAAAGTGTATAAATATATAAAGAGAGAGATTTACATCAAGGAAACAGCTCACACGACTGTAGAGGCTAGAACGTCCCAAGTAGATGCCTCTCCTAAGTCACGCAGCCGCAGAAGCTGGCAAACCCAAGATCGGCAGGTCAGAGAGCAGGGCTCCTGCTCACAGGCTGTGCAGATCGATGAATCCCAAGTTCAGCAGATAAGCTGACAGCTCAAGTCCCAAGAACCGGAGATGAGACAACAGGAGGCTGCCGCAGGATCCAGAGAGAGCAAAAAGCCAGAACGTCTGCTTATATTCAGATGCAGGCCACTCCCCCAAGGAGACTCCCTTTCATCTGATTGGCTACTCACAGTATAGTCAATCATGGGAGTGATCACATTAAAACACTGAGAATCATGGCCCAGCCAAGTTGACACACAATCTTAACCAGCACACCATCCTTGGGAAATAGTCCGACTGACGGAAGATATTGAAACCAACAAAAAGCACCGTAAAGAGATGAGCCCAGCTTTCCTACACCAGTCCATAAAGTTCTTCACAGAATTATCACCCTCCTCCTCATGTTGCTTCAAAGCTTATTTCAAGCTCCCCTGGAGTCGGCATCCAGTATAATTCTCAGTTTACAACTTCTCACAAAGACAGTTTCTTGTTAGCCATACTATGAGACAGGGTGAGCTGAGATTCAGAGTTCTCAGAGGGCTGGTTATTTCCTAAGTCGGTAGTCCTTCTCAAGGAGCCCTGGTGGCACAGTGGTTAAGTGCTCGGCTGCTAACTGAAAGGTCAGTAGTCCGAACTCACCAGCCGCTCCATGGGAGAAAGATGTGGCAATCTGCTGCCATAAAGATTTACAGCCTTGGAAACCCTCTGGGGCAGTTCTACTCTGCCCTACAGGGTCGCTATGAGTCGGAATCAACTTAAAGGCACTGAGTTTGGTTTGGTGGGTTTGAAGTCCTGCTCAGTAACAAGCCCACCCCACCTGCTCTTAGTTTTTCTGACTGACATAGAAGGCAGTTCAGGAAATACCAAAACAGCCACATTCTGAAAAATTTATCCAGAAAAGGAAGATTTTGTGGAAATAAAAGCACACAGTATTTTCTGTAGTAAATTTAAACTTACCCACAGTCACATTTAAATATAAAGTTGTAACTGCAGAAGTGCAACTCAAACAGCTAATGTTAGGTATGGATTAATCTGAGTGGATCAACTGGTCATTACCAGGGAAAGTGAATGTATTTGTTACACAACATTTAATTATTCAATTAAACCAAAACCTAAACCGTTGTCATCGAGTCGGTTCCCACTCATAGCAACCCTGTAGGACAGAACAGAACTGCCCCACAGGGATTCCAAGGAGCGGCTCATGGAGTCTAACTGCCAAGCTTTCGGTTAGCAGCTGAGCTCTTAATCACTGCGCCACCAGGACTCCATTATTCAATTGTTGTTGTTAGGTGCCATCGAGTTGGTTCTGACTCATAGCAACCCAGTACTTATTTATTGAGCACCAACTGGATGACCAACAACTTGGAGTACACAAACATGACACAGACACGGATTCTATCTCAAGTCTCTAGAAAGTTCCATAAAAGAGGACAGACAAAGAAAGAGCCATGCACAGTCAAAGAAGGGAGAGACTATTTCCATGGGCAGAAGAGCATTCCTAGGCAGAAGGAACAGCAGAACCAAAAACCGAAGATGAACAAGTAAGGGTGAGTAAGGAAAACAATTAGCTCATGTTGGCAAGAGGGTTAGGTAAACAAAGAAGATAAGGAAATGAGGCTGGAGAGGCAGCTGAGGGCCAAACTGTGGAGGATATTAAACGCAAAGCTATACTTTTTTAAACCATGCTAACTTCTAACCAAGGCTATTATATTCAAGCTTCATACAGAAAGCAAATCACATATACTTTAGAGCAATTTAGAAGCATATTCATGTAATACAAAAAAGTTTTTTAGCTACGTAGGAAAAAGTGGGTAAGGCATACACAAACACATACACACATACACACATACACACACACACACACACACACACACACACACACACACACGAATACTACTCCAAAGACATTAAAAGCAGCATTTGGGTAAAAACAGGTACCATTCCCGTTACTAATGATGCTAACGTATCCAGATTAATAAGCAATAACTGGAAAAAAGTGTCAGAAATGGCTAATATCTCTGAGCTTCTTAAGGCAAGAAGCCAAAAGAAATGCCCTACAACAGGGTTATTTTCTTCAACTCCTAATCTAGACTAGCTAACAGAGTAAACTGTTTATTAAGAATTCCTGTTTTATAAAAAAAACCTTTCTATGTTCTGGATTAAAATAGTGCAGACCCGTGAAGACTGTAGAAATGGCCAATGTTCTGTTACCTATCTACTTACCACAATAAAAACGGAGAGAAAGAACAAAGTCAAACAACCAAATACAACAGATAAACCTCAATTTTATCCTGGATGGGTGAAAACGCATCAGCTACAAAAACAATTTTGAGATTAATTAAGGAAACTTAAATATGGAATAGATACTTGATGGTGGGATTATTGTTCATTTTCTTAGGTGTGTTAATGGTATTGTGCTTATTAGGTGAATGTCCTTATTCTTAGAAGATGCACGTAGAAGTATCTAGCTGTGAAATATCACAATACACAGGCATTCCCCAGGTTATGAACATCTTCCCATTCGCAATGCCAGGAATGCCTGTATATGCAATTTATTTCGAATGTTTTAGGAAAAAAAACCATACGTACCAAGAGAAAAAGAAAGCCACTGTGGCAAAACGTTAATTACTAGATCTAGGTGGAGGGTATATCCATATCCGCTACACTCTTTTTTTCTAACTTTTCTGTATGTTTGAAATTTTTCAAAATAAAAAGTTGGGAGGGAGGGGGCGCTACTAACCATCCCAGGCATGTGATGGTATACGAACTAAAACCGGCAGAAAATATGAAAAGACCTGTTTATTCTTAAACAAAGTTTTTCTTTGTAGCAAAGTTCCCTGCTGATTTCAAGAGCAAGAAAAATACTCTGAATCTGGATGCTGTGGCAGTCTAATAAATCTAAAGACCATGAAATATTAGAAATCCTCAAGAAGGAACAACGATTTGGTAAGACGTACATACACAAGCACAGGCATGATGGTCCAAGTGGGCTTCCCAATCAGCAGATTTCAACATTTTTTAGGGCCCTTGACCCCTTGAAGAAACTCATGAAAGCTATAGTTTCTCCTCAAAAAAAGCACACATGCCTCAAATTTTATACACAATTTCGGCTTACTTCCAAAGCCTGTCCACGAGCCCCAAGAACCTTTGCCTGAGCTTTTCTGAGTGAGCTGCTGAGAATACTAAATATAAGTAAGGTCGTTTCGTGCGAAAAATTTAAATACATAAAATTTTCCGTTGACATCCTAGTAGCTCTTTCACAGGCGTGGCAAGTCTCCTTTAGCCAGCGTTCTACTGTTATTTGAAAGGCAAAAACACAGGAGAAGAAAAAAAATAGTTGTAAGCAAACACACTGCACTCCTCTGGCTGCTGGATTTCCTATCGGCAGAAAATCGAACTATGCAAGCAAAACAAAACGTTTTCCTGCCTGCTCGTACGTCACTTCTCCCTATCTTGACGCCACAGCCGCGTTCCTGCCGCTTCTCTTCTCCTTCCCCTCCCCAGTTAGGAAAAAGCAGTTCTAAAATCAGGTCCAGCAATCTCCGAAAAGGATTGTGGGTACTGTAGTCTTCTGCACAAGAAAACCAGCGGGTGGTTCGGGTGACTTACGGAAACTGCAGATAAAGCCGTTGCTTAATACACAGAAGAAGGTCAGTGTTTCTTGACCCCTAAGCAAGGAAACAAAATAATAATAATGTTGACCCATACAGCGTCGGAAAAACAGTCCTCGTACTACAAGTCCCAGAGTTCTTTGCGCCCAGCAGCAACGTAGCCATCCCGCCTGTGCCCGCGCAACCGGTTGCTTGCGTCCGGGAGACTGTAGTCCCCGCCAGCGCAGCCGAGTCCACGGCGCAAGGACTGACGGCCACCACGGTGGAAGAGCCGGGAAAGGATGTGGGTGTTTGGTTACGGTTCCCTGATATGGAAGGTGGACTTCGCCTATCAGGACAAACTGGTCGGGTACATCACAGGCTACAGCAGACGCTTCTGGCAGGGCAGCACGGACCACCGCGGGGTCCCCGGCAAGGTGAGGCGCCAGCCAGCCCCCACGCTCACTGCCCCCGGGGCGCCTCTCTCCAGCTCCCGGCCTAGCGAGCGGGACTCATCCCCTGGGGGCCGAGCACGGGGTGGGGGTAGGGGGCTGTTACACTTGTGCGTCCCCCTCGGCCACCGCCACTCACTTCTCCCCCAAACCAAGGGCACTCCTTCCGAAGTCGCTGGAGATGGTGGTTCGTTTCTAGAGGAGCCGGGCGTAGGCAACCCAAGCTTAAACGGGGCTGACGTGCCGGGCAGAGGACCCACTTCTTGGCAACTTCTCCCCCACAAAAAAAGAAAAAAATAAAGCGAATGGAGAGATTTATCTTCGTGTCGCCACGGGGTTGAAGTACAAAAATCAATTTGAAAATTCAGCTTTTTAGCAATTAAATTTATTGGCATTTCTGCATTCTGGCTGTTTTCACTGATTTGAGTTCAGACGTGCAATGTTATTTCTGGGATTTCTTTAAAACTCTCCAAAGGTTTCACTTTATGACACCTAGGGTGAGTGCTGAACTAGTTTCCAAAATCATCTCGTTATTAAGGAGTTTATCTTGATCACTTACATTGCGAGATATTAGCAAAGATAAAAAGTTTCCAGTTTATTACGAGTGAACACAGTTCCAAACCCATATACTCAACATTATTTTAATGTAACTTTCTCAATGTTCTAAATTATGAATATGAAATTTATTTGATCTATTTTTCAGCCAATCATCCAAGACATTCATTTCAGTACATATCTACAGAAAGTTAGTAGCAGCATACTGCTTTTGCAAATCAGCCTTGTAATGCCTTCAAAACAACTAACTTTAATCCCTAAAGAAAATTAAGTTTTGGGTAACTAATAATTTGGGTAACGTGGACATTTGTTTTAGTTAACATTCAAACCTTTGGAGGAGCTACAAATTTTTTTTTTAATTTTGTTGCTGTTGAGAATATACACAGCAAAACATACACCAATTCAACAGTTTCTACATGTACAGTTCAGTGGCATTGACTACGTTCTTCAAGTTGTACAACCATTCTCACTCTCCTTTTCTGAGTTATTCCTCCTCCAGTAACATAAATTCACTGCCCCATAATGTTCCTATCGAATCTTTCAAGTTGCTATTGTCAGTTTGATCCCATATAGTTCTTAAAAAAGCACAATACTCAAGGCAGACTTTTTTTTTTTTTTAAACTAGTTAAGCTACACTGTTGTTTGGTTTTAAGAAGATCTCAGAGGGTATTTTTGGTTTAAGGTTTAAAGATTATCTCAGGTCAGTAGTTTTAGGAGTTCATACACCCTTGATGGCTCCAGGAAGTCTGGAGTCCATGAGAATTTGAAATTCTGTTCTGCATTCCCCCAACCTCCCCTTTTGATCAGGATTCTTCTGCAAAATCTTTGATCAAAATGTTCAGTAATGGTAGCCAGGCACCATCCAGTTCTTCTGGTCTCATGGCAAAGGAGGCAGTTGTTCATGGAGGCAATTAGCCACACATTCCATATCCTATTCCTGACACTCGTTCTTCCTCTGTTGCTCAAGGCAAATAGAGACCAACTGTTGTGTGCTGGTCGTGTAGTGGTTAAGAGTTTGTCTGCTAACCAAAAGATCGGCAGTTTGAATCCATCAGCCTCTCCTTGGAAACCCTAGGGGCAGCTCTACTCTGTCCTATACGGTTGCTACGAGTCAGAATTGACTCGATAGCAATAGTTTTTTTGTTTTTTGGACGGTCACTTGCAAGCTTTTAAGATCCCAGGCACTATGCAATGAAATAGGAGGTAGAACAGAAGCACTAAACAAGTTATTAGGCCGATTAAGAGTTACAAAATTTTGATTGCTTATATGTCTCTGAAATACTCTCTGAAGACTTATATGGGCGTTATTACTGTGTTTATAAAACAAATGAATATTGGTCCAAAAGCACAAAATCTAAAATGCTAAAAATCAGATTTAGGAAAAGATCAGAGCCCTGGTAGCGCAGTGGTTAAGAGCTACGGCAAGCTATGGCTGCTGGTAACCAAAAGGTCAGCAGTTCGAATCCACCAGCCGCTCCATGGAAACCCTATGGAGCAGTTCTACCCTGTCCTATAGGGTTGGGTGTTACTTCCAAAGAAACGCCTGCAGTCATAGAAAGGGGAGGGGATAAAGGCTCCAGAGCAGTTTGCACCTGCTCATAAAAGGGGCATAGGATTAAAATCATGAAAAGAACCTGAGTTAAAAAGCCATTATCAACTAGAGTTGGTCAATTAAGATGTTGGCATTAAGGTAGACTATACTGGCCTACAGCCTTGGTGGCGCAGTGGTTAAGAGCTCAGCTGCTAACCAAAAGGTCGGCAGTTCAAATCCACCAGCTGCTCCTTGGAAACCCTATGGGGCAGTTCTACTCTGTCCTATATAGGGTCGCTATGAGTTGGAATCAACTTGATGGCAACGGGTTTTGTTTGATTTTACACTGGCCTACAGAGATGTTGAACGGAATGACTTGAAAAAGGTGGAGTGACTTAGGGCAAACAATTTTGATGTGGACGCAAAATTGCCATTCTGAAGAGAAAAAGTCTTCACCCAGGCTCCAATTTTAATAACCAAGTGTTAAATACTTCTGTATATGGCTATAACATATTTTACTACTCTAGTCTCAACCAAAACGTATGATGTGTTTGTTACGTAGTATGTCAAGATATGTCCACTGTCAGAACATACTGAGGACAAGAATGTCAAACAGTGCCTGATACTTTAAAAGGAGAAAAAGAAAAGAAAAAAAAAAAACCAAACCCATTTTCGTCGAGTCAATTCCAACTCATAGTGACCCCACAGGACAGAACAGAACTGCCCCATAGGGTTTCCAAGGAGCGGCTAGTAGATTTGAACTGCCCACCTTTTGGTTAGCAGCAGTAGCTCTTAGCACTGTACCACCAGGGCTCCTTGAAGGAGAAGAGAGCTATAAAAGCCAGTGTCTGTTTTTACTTAAATTTACTAAAATGCAGCAAAGGAAAGTTAAGAGAAAAAAACTGCAATGGCTGATAGTTTTACACCTACATTTATTTAAAGAATCCAACATAGCAAATTAAAAGAAAATCTAAGTACCAAACATTTTCTAAGTATACTGTTCTGTTAAAAAATGAAAAGAACATCATAATTTTACTTTACATTTTTCATAATAATAAGTTGCCAGCCTTATACAACAGGCTGTAGAAATATTCAGCAAATTAGAAGAATGATATATATGCTATATGGGACTGTGCTTTTTATAGCAAAATATACTCCTAGTAAATTAGTCATCACAAATGCCTTGTCACTGACATGAAATGAGACATTATTAAACAAGTGTTTGGCTCATTTCCACACAGTGCTATGTGACATTTGTGGGAAATATACTGAACCTACTTGCTTTATTAAATTATACTTTCTTTTCAGCTTCATTAAACTTTAATTTCTTCCTAAGCTTAATTAGCATCTCTTTTATATTTATATTTCACTAGCAGTTTCTCACAAAAATTAGGAGTTTTTAAAAATGTGAAAGATTTTTCAATCATCAAAGAGAATATATTACAATTTTAAAAAAAGGAACGAATTTAATACAAGAGATAACGAACATTTATTAAATCCCTAGCTTTTCTAGCTCTAGATCAGAAATATTACTCATTACCCAGTGAAAACACCCATCATGACTCAAACATTTTACAACATCCTCCAGTCCCATTCAGCTTAAACATCTCCTTTTTCAGTTTCAATGCCCGAAAAAAAGCATTTAGTGTATTTACAATCTTACATTATTTTTCAACAACCTATTTTTTAGGGGCAAAGAGCTTAAGTTTTAGAAAATATTTCTAAGTAAATTTATCAGTAGTGCCAGCATTATTCCATTTTTTTTATCATCCCTAAGCAGTCACAGGAACCTGTTTTATTTTCCCTTAAAATGACTCCCTACATACACCCTTGTTTTTCCACCTGCCACCACCATAAGTCCAGGGCTTCACTGCCCCTCCCCTCAGCAGTTAGTACTGAGCAGTTACACAGGTGAAAGATGCCCAAGCAAACAGCAGCAGTATGTGCAAAGTGCTACGACGGAAATGAGAACTTGGGCGAAGGAACCGGTAAGTCCACCTAGGAAGTCAGCCAAGGCTTTGTGGAGGGAGTGGCTGGAGGATATCCCAGTGATGTAGGGGGCAGGGCATTCCACAGTAGGCACCAGTATATTAAAAGATATGAAAGTCTGTGAGAGTTATAAAGAATTCAGTACAGCTTGAGAGGGAAAATGGTAAGAAATGAGGTGTGTAGTTAAGTTATGCTAAGGAATTTTGATTTTATCCTGTAGCATATCACAACCCTGAAGAATTTGAAACTCAGGAGCGAGTGGCCCAATTTTTGTACCTGAAAATCATTCTGGGGCCATGGAGAGAACAGACTGAAGGGAAGCAAAACTAGAGGCAGGCAGGGAAATCCCTAAAAGAGGCTACTAAAGGATACTCGGAAGCCAAAACTGCCAAGAATTGGTGGCTGGGCTGGATGTGAGGAGAGATGGAGAGCAGAACTTGTCACTTGAACTGCTAACATGTCTGACTGAGTGTCTTCCTGCTTCCACTTTAACCTGCATACTCTACCAGAACTAATCTTCCCCAAACATGTCATCTGTCACACAAGTCACCTGCTGCTCAGTCACCAGGAGCTCCTTATTTCCAATTCCCAAACTTCAGTGGTTTCTTCTTTCCCACTGCCCTCTAATTTCACCTGCCCTCACTGGCTTTTCAAATCTGACTATCCTGTTTTCTCTAGTTATGTTTTCGAACCTTCTTTCACATGGGGGCCCTCTGCTAAAGTCAGACAATCCATCTAGTGTAGTCCTGTCCCTAGGCCCTCACCCATGAGTCATGATGCCCTTTCGTCAAAATTTTGTCTTCCTTTCTGGCCACCTTACTGCACTTAATAAATGACGTACATCTTACCCCTTAAGTATTCTCTACTTATTTCACATGCTAGTTTGGATTCCAGAATTACAATATAAGCTCATGGAAACAAGAATCAAGGTTTTATCTTCTCTCAGCACATAGGAGGCATTCAATAAATAGCTCCTAATTGAAAGGAGCCCTGGTGGCACAAAGGTTAAGTGCTTGGTTGCCAACCTAAAGGTCAACTGTTCAAACCCAGCAGCCTCTCCATGGGAGAAAAGACCTGAAGATCTGTTCCCAAAAAGATTTCAGCCTAGGAAACCCTATGGGCCAGTTCAACTCTGTTATACAGTGTCACTAAGAGTTGGAATTGAATCAACAGCACACAATTGACTTTTCTATGAGTTGGAATTGAATCAACAGCACGCAACAATTGACTTTGAAATTGAAAGTAATATGGCAATACCTCCATGATTCTCTCTTTATTGGAATTCTCTCCATATTGCCTAATTTATCAATACCATCTAATATGGTGTGGTTTTTAAATAGATTTAGAGTGCCAGAAAAATGTTTTTATTCCTCAGATAATACCTGTGGATAACACGATCCCCACCATGTACTATGCATCTTCACTGGAGCATTATCTTAAATAGAAAAGTCAGAAATGTAAATGTGCAACAACACAGGAATGTTTAAACTACAGTTCATCGATTGTGCGACTATTAAAATTTATGACACTAAATATGGAAAATAGAGTTAAATGAGAAATAATAATCCAATATCCCTTGTGTTCCTTGCTTATGAAATATCTACACATACGGACAAAAACTAGAAGGAAACACCAACAGAGATGACACACGTATCTGATTGGAGCTCACCATGTACCCGAGCACTGGCATAAAAGTGGGTAAAATGGTGGCTTACAATTCAGTGTTCTCCCTTAACGCTAGCATGTCAGCAGACATGTTACCACTGGCACCAGGTAAGGATTTTATAAAGAAAACTGGCGGCCATCGTTCTCAGTCACTTTTGTGGTTTAAATTATGGACTATTCCAAGTCTCGATTTTCTCTAAGATTTTCAATTTATAAACAAAGGTTATTTTCTCAGCCTTTGAAAGAAGAAACCAAAAGTTTGTTTTGGCTTGATAATATCTCATTACAGTCTCAAGCTGAATGATACAAAGTGAAGCTGCTTTTCATACAACAGTTTTTTTCTTTAATACATGAGAACATCTAAATAAGTAATACCTAAATAACTGTTAACTGACCTGCGTTAAAAGCAAAAGTAGAAAAATAAAATGGCCTAGAACGCCAGACGGTCTAACTGATCATATACAAGAAAGTAACATTAACCCCTTGATACTCGTCGTCGTCGAGTGGATTCTGACTCATAGCGACCCTATAGGACAGGGTAGAACAGCCCCCATAGGGTTTCCAAGGAGCAGCTGGTGGATTCAAACTGCTGACCTTTTGGTTAGCCGCCAGACTTAACCACTGTGCCACCAGGGCTCCAACCCCAATGTAAAGTTCATTTAGGAATGTTAAGAGGCCTAACCTGAGGTACCCATTACCATGTACGGAAAGGTTAGAGTATTCCTCTCCCATTTAAGATCCCTGGTAACAACGGTTCTAACAGGGTGACCCCCAAACTTGTTACAAATGCAAATTCTCCAACGACTCCAACCCTACAGAATGAAAAACTCTGGGGGTGTAGCCTAGCAATGTGTGTTTATCAAGCTCCCCAGGCACTTTTCATCCATGCTAAAGTTTGAGAACCACTTCCCTATAGGGAAGCGCCCTGGAGCTTCATGTTTTGTTCCCTAATACTATAGCAGTCTTTTTCCCAAGGAGGGGACAGAACTTTAATTGCTACTTCATTTTGCCTTTCATTTTAGATGAGCCTTAAGTTACTGGTATGTTTTTTAATTTATCCATTGTAAGTGAACATAATACACCTGATATATATAAATTGTGGAAACCTTTTATAAAGGCCATGATAGCTTAGATAAGGTTGATTCTCTTAAATTCACTTTAAAGAAGTACATAGTATGAGTAAATGTAGTTAAAATATTTTCCATGTCAAAATTACATTGCTAATGCTCGATTACTTAATGAGCTTTCATTCAGGAAAAAAAAAAAAATTTTTTTTTTTTTTTTTACTTTTTCTAAAACAGCCTGGAAGAGTTGTGACGCTTGTTGAAGATCCTGGGGTATGGTATAATTATTCTTTCTGTATAGTCGCTAATCGTACAAAATGCTAAGAGATGTGTCTCAGGCTTAGTGATCAGAGAAATTTTATTAACAGTCATCATGGACAACTTGAACTTCCTAGGCTTAGAATTCCTCTCAATATTTGCTGTGTTTTTTTTCATCTGTGGGAAATGAGGCCAGTGGGAAAAGGTGCAGATGCCAGATGCAGGGTAGAGAACAAGATAAAACCAAATGGCATGTAGCTTGTTTTGTCTTTGTGAGTTTGTGCATGAGCACTTTGCAGCACCCTCTGACAATACTGGAGACAGCTCCATATAGCCAGGTTAGTATTAAGAATCAAATGGATCCGTTAAAGCTCTCCTCACATTTCCTAGGACTCTCTAATATTTTCAACAGAAATCCCAGTCCGGAATTCTCTTTATTGCCTAATTTTATCAATAGCAACTGATATGCTGTGCTTTTTAAATATGTTTAGAGTACCAGAAAATATTATTTACCTGTATTCTGAGTTTATTAACTATTTTGGACTATTATATTGGAATACAGATTCAAAAGAGGTAGTTTTGGGGAAAACCTTGATATATAAAAATCAGGCAGCTAGCAACAGCAGATGAATAATGGTGTTGATTAGGAAACGCTTTCATAATTTACACTAGAAAAAGCATCATAAAAATGGCTTTACACTGGTAACTATAACTCCTAATTAAGCAGTTAATAAACAAATGGCACTTTGTTTCTATAGAACTTTAATTCATTCCAGAAGATACTTACAGACCTAATATTTAATAATTAGAGGCTGTCAAGAAACTAGAAAAATCTGTTATAAACTATAAGTCCTGCTTATATCACAGACATTTTCTTAATACCAAAAAAAGAAATCTCCATTTAAGTTCTTTGCAGCCAAAGTACATTGTTTTTATTGATTTCTTTGTTCATGGACTCTCTCCACAGAAGACGCTGCCATTTAGTTTTCTGGATGAAGTAATTTATAAACCATATTTGAAAGTTTAGACAATTAAGAAATGAACAAGATAAAATGAACCTGCTGTGGCTTTAGGTAGTTGATTATGATTATTACAGAGCTTTTAAAACACAGAACCCTTTCTTCAAACAAGGGAACTACCTAATACATAAAAAGATAAAAGTGACACTCAGCTGTAGCTGAAGGAGGATGGGGTGTCAGAGCTTTCCCAGCCAGCACCCCAATACTCAGATGCAGACAGTGCCTGAGGTAGGATCCAGGGTGACTAAAGTACCCCGTGAAACAGTATGTAAGCCACTGCCCTATACCATAAGTGACGTGTCTATGCATTTAAAGCTATAGAACTATATTTTTAATGACAAAATGAAAACCTGCATTTTTCATTGCCGTCCTATTAGTTAAAAGTAAAAAACCTAATTAAAAAATATAAACAAAGACAACTATCCTGTTGTGTTATGACCCAAAAAAAATTATTCAGAATAAATAATTTGAAAGGCTGATTTTCTTTATTATTTAGTAAGTACCTCTTCAGTGCACTTTAAGTGAAGCATAAGTGCAGTGACTTCTAAGAACATACAAGATACCTTCCTAAATCATAACACATCGTCACCTATTTTAATTAGCGTTGTAAATTCTAAATGATGTATTTTCATTTTTCAACAGGGTTGTGTATGGGGTGTTGCTTACAAACTGCCAATAGGAAGGGAAGAAGAAGTAAAAGCATATCTTGACTTCAGAGAGAAAGGAGGCTACCGGACTGAAACAGTCATTTTTTATCCAAAAGACTCCACAACAAGACCATTCAGTGTGTTGTTATACATTGGAACATGTGATAATCCTAACTATCTTGGTCCTGCACCTCTGGAAGACATTGCTGAACAAATTTTTAATGCAGCTGGCCCAAGTGGAAGAAATACGGAATATCTTTTCGAACTTGCAAATTCTGTCAGGAACCTTGTGCCAGAAGATGCAGATGAGCATCTTTTCTCTTTGGAAAAATTAGTAAAGGAACGTTTAGAAGGAGAAGAGAACCTCAATTGTATAGAAAGACCTAAGCATTGACTTATCCAAACAAGCAGAGCTTTTAGTCTACAGAGAACACCTTCATTGCACAATGGCAATGTGATTTGAAAATGTGTTTACTTGAAGGTCTTATTTATCTTTCTGTTGTATTCAGGATATCATCTAAATTTATACTTTGATTGCAGGTATCGTAAAACACATAGTCAAAAGACAGATATAGCTGAAGAAAACCATTCAAGTTTTAATAACACACATGATCTCCTAACTATACGATATGGAACTGTTGCTCATTGGAAGTGGGTTCTTTAAAAAAATACAATGAAGGATTCAGATTGGTTCTTGTTTTTATCAGAGTAAAAATGATTCTGTTGCTTCATATCACAATACTGTTTTGAAGTTATAGAGAATTAAACCAAAAGTCAGGTAAACATAATAAGGTTATGCCTTCAGTATACTCCCATACAATATTTCTGTAACCATGGCTTAAAATATAAAAACTTAAAATAATATGTGATTAGAAATGTATGGTAATACAGACAAGACTTCAGCCTTGAACGTGAATGTCCTTGTTATTCAGGTATTAAATGGCATTTTCAAATTTAAGCCAAAAAAATTTGGCATTTTTAGTATAAAAATGTCCTTAGTATTGTAATGTACATACCTCTTCTTTTTAAATAAATGCATTTTAATTACTACATGGAAAAAACTCATTAAGTCTAAAAGAACACAAATTACATTATATAAATCACATCCACTAACAATGTAGTCTGTCATTCACATTGTATTAATCTTATACAGAAACTGGAAAAAAAGATGGGTTTTTCTGATATTACAAATTAACAGCAGATTTTGGAATTGTAATTTTTTTAAAGAAAGAAATGGCATTACCTGATTATATGCTACATAGGATCTTTTTTTTTCGCTTGTATCTGGTCACTTAAAAGTATCAACAGAAAAGTGTTTATGCTGCTATTCAAGTAGGAAACAAGCACATGAATTAACCAACGTGGAATTAGCCTTGATTCACACTAATCAGATTATTCTTGATTATAGGTGACACCTTTCTCAACAGGACATATAATCGCTCTAGAATCTTTCAACATGCAGAGAATTTCAGTATCACATTAAATTTAGTACAAAATTTACTAAGAACTCCTCAAAGCCAGGCATGACTAACGATTAGTACAGAAGTTTTTCACATAAATAAAAGCTGTCCTAGATAATAAGAACGGGAGTCCTTTCATGTTTTTCTATTTATTAACACCTTACTTGGTAAATTAGTCAGCTACCTATTTTATATAATGGTTTTCCAGAAGGCATTTTACTTGTCCTGTACAACAGAAGGAGCCCTGGTGGTTCAGTGGTTAAGAGCCCGGCTGCTAACCAAAAGGTCAGCAGTTCAAATCTACCGGTCGCCCCTTAGACACCCTATGGGGCAGTTCTACTCTGTCTGCGGGGCTGCTGCTGTGTGTCAGAATGGACTCAACAGCAACAGGTTTGGCACGACAGGAAGGGGACTAACGCTTATTAATGAATATCACATAGAATGTGCCAGGCACTTTACATACAGAGGCAAATGTCCCCGTTTTCTGCATAACTCCTCTGAACATAAGCAGCACAGTTACACCTCTTGTAAGTGGCAGAAATCTAGGGTTCTGACTTTAAAGCACAAGATCTTTCTACAACACTTTTAAAAACCCACCTTTTTTCACTATCCTGCATCTGTTTTCAGGAGGTAAGCAGATTTACTTTTTCCATATAATAAACTAGTATATAGCTTGTTACATAAAGATGTTAGAATTTTGACAGATGTATATATATTCTTACAAATATAATGAGCTTATCCAAGATTCACATGCTATATAAATATCAGAATCGTGTAGATGAATTCAGAGATCCAGATCCATTTTTCAAACACACCAAGGTCCAAAGGAATTTGTGACTCCCCAAAGTGATTCTTCTACCATTTAATATATAATTAGGTTACAAAATATGAAGAGGGAGGGATTATTGTAGGGCCCCATTTGTTAAATCTAGGCTTTCAGTTATAAGGTACGTGAGAAAACATGTGAATAAACATATGGTATACCATCCATGGAGCCCTGGTGGTACAGTGGTTAAACATTTGGCTGCCTACCGAAAGGTTGGCAGTTCAAATCCACCAGCCACTCCCTGGAAACCCTATGAGGCAGTTCTGCTCTGTCCTATAGGGTCGCTATGAGTCAGAATCGACTGTACAGCAACGGGTTTGGTTTTGTTTTTGGTGTTTTTTTTTTTTTTGTTTATACCATCCATACTGATGGGAAGGCCATATTCCAAAGAGCCTAAGGACAGAGACACATTCATTTTCATCCAGATGGAAAGAAACCTGACCAAAATGGAGAAGTCAAACTACTGGATTAGAGAGAAGCAGAGGCTTGGAGCCTCCAAGAATCAAAACTCTGGTACTAAGTTATCTAAAACTTTAGTTTTCTCAGCAAAACTGCAAATCTCTTTACAGCCTCAGATCTCACTTTCAAAATATTTTCTCTCATTCTTCCGTAATCACATATACAAAACTCAGACTCTCATTCCTCAAAACAGAAATAGTAGCTAGGTGTTAAGTTTTATGAATCCAAGAAAAGTGTAAGTGTAAACCCTACATTAAGAAAAGAAACTTTTAATTTAAATTAATCTCTAATGGAGTGGGTTGTTTAAAATACATGTTTCTACTCCAATTCCAAGCTACTATTATATTTCCTTTCCCTACTCCCAAACACACAACTTACTCATTCACTCTTCAGTCTACCAAGAAGCACATCTATCCATAAACAGTTATCACTTAGGAAAGCACAGGTTGTTTTGATAATGTTCAAATTTGAATATACGAAAGCATGAATGTGACCCATTACTTTAAATTATAAGATCTATTTTAAAGGTTTGACCATTGTCTCTCTAGCTAGCAGTTCATCTCGAATGGGGAAAATGTATATATTTTAAATTTTGTACTAATAAAGTACCTGATATTATTATACATCTTGAAAGTGCCCATTTAATTTTAATGTATGTAAAGCATATGTATCAGGGCCTGATATAGTACTTAATAAGTATTATCTAATATTGCTTTATATATTCAGAGTACCATAAGTTCAATAGCTCTTCTAGATTCATAGTGATTACAACCATGCCTATAGCTTAAGAATCATTTTTAGTCTATTAAATATTTTTCACACATTTTCCAGTCGATATTTCTTTCCATTATATTAGATTTCTCTTTTCCATAGATAAAACACTCTTCTTAAATTATAACTTCAGAGTCTAAAGAGCTCTCTTGATGAGCTAAGTACGTATCCCTACATCCTGAGCAGTTGTAAATATCAATGTAAGCATGACACTCCTGTAATTTACCATCCCTGATTCTTTCAAAGTCTATTATATGATAAATGTGCTTTCAAATTTCATCTCATTGCGTCATGTTAAAATTTACCTATGAAATCTTCCAAGTATGCCTATCTTTTCCAGCAAAAATACTGAGTACATTTTCTATGAATTCATTCAGCTTTTAACTATCTATTTTTACACTTTTCTAAAACCTTTAACTAATCCTAAGCATACATTAAAGACTCAGCAATTAGTGGGATGATTTTTTAATCATGTGGCTACTCTGTCAAAGAATTTTAACTCTTCCACAGACAACTACTAAAATGGTTCTTCTATGTCAAATTAATACAATGAAAGTTAGCTTTATTGAATTTCAGGTTTTTTTCGTTCTTCTTAATGTTGATTATATCCTTTCTAAAATACTATCATTCAGTAACACATTCTTGGTTATTTCCCATAATTGTACTGAACCTCCTTGTCTTTATGAAATGGTTTGCCTACACATACACACACTCTATAACTAGAAAAAACTTCACTTAACCTTACATTTATTCTTCCATCTTCCTTATGCTTCTACAGGAATGTTTTAACTATATAGTGTTCCACTTGCCTGTCAACTTGTCTTAATGCCCCTCCATCTAACTACTCTGCAGTCTCCAGTGACCCCCTTCCTGACTCAACCCAAACACCTCAGTTTTCATCCTCCTTACCACTCTGATGCATCAGACACTAATGATCAAGCATCGCATATCAATAAGGCCAAAAGAGCAGAACATTTCATTCTATTTCTATTCACAACTCTTATACTATTCTGTACCAGATGCAAGCTCACCGAATCACAGGCTTCAATTACCATTTTCACTTACATAGTTTCAATCTCTAGCCTACACTGTCAACCTCTTTACAACTCTAAAAATCTCTACATTTTAAGACATCTCCAGTCGAGCTACACAAACACTTGGAACTTAATATAATAAAAACAGAACTCATCTCCTTTCCCAGTTAGAAATGTTTTGTCCCACAATGCCTCCTTGCATATAATACACATTAGATGTTGAATAATGGTTAGAACCCATTGCCGTCGAGTCGATTCCGACTCATAGCGACTCTAAAGAATGGAGTAGAACTGCCCCATAGAGTATTCAAGGAGCGCCTGGTGGATTCAAACTGTTGACTTTTTGGTAGCAGCTGTAGCACTTAACCACTGTGCCACCAGGGTTTCCTATGAGTTGGAATTGACTTGATGGCAATGGGTTTGATTTTTTTTTTTTTTTTCGCTGAATGGTTAGAACAGAAAAAGCAACGAACAGTTTTAAGATATGCCTATCAGTTTACAAGCTTTTGGAGGAAATTAATGTTTGCAATATACACAAAATGTAATGCCTTGTTTATATTCAATTTTAGCTCTTATTTTACTAAAAAGTATGTATAACGTTTCTTAATGACAAATCAAAACAAAGTTAGCAGGGAAGCCCTGAAGCCTATACGGCTTAACAAAAAAATTCCATGATGGTAAGATCTAACCTTCAAGTATGAGCTGGAAGATTTCTCAGCTGAAATAAGAACCTTATAATGCAATAAACCCGTGCCAAACCCTTTGCTGTGGAGTAGATTCTGACTCATAGCAACCCTATAGGACAGAGCAGAACTGCCCGATAGGGTTTCCAACAGGCGGCTGGTGGATTCAAACAGCCGACTTTTTGGTTAGCAACCAAACGTTTAACCACTTCGCCACCACAGCCCTTGGTTTTTATAATGCAGTAAGAGCCAGAATTTCTTATCTTTTCTTGCCTCCCATCTCTCTTCTTCTCTCCAGTATATTGTCTACCCTGCAGTTAGAATTATCTTCCTAAAGTGTGGAACTAATCTGCTCAGTAATCAAAAATGCGCCCCAGTGCATACAAAATAAAGCCCAAATTCCTTCGTCTGGCATTCAGTTACTTACAACTTGGTGTCAGTATATTTGTCCAGTTTCATCTCCTATTAATGCACCCCCCTCCACGCTCCAGTCACACCATCCTTCTCCCTTATCTTTCAGACCCAGGTCAAATGAGGGCTAAGGATGGTAAGCAATGACCATGCACCAAGACTACCAAGATGAGTAAGATAGGTCCCAGCTACCAAGAACCATATTTGGTAGGGAGACACATACGCAAAAAAAAAAAAAAAAAAAAAAAGTTATTTAGCATAAAAAGATGTGATATAAAATACAAACAAAATACAGACAGGTGAATTATTAGTTCAAACTAGTAAAATCAGGAAAACTTCACAGAAAAAAAAAAGTAGATATTCATGGATCAAAGAATAATAGTTAATACGTAAAACACTTACTATATACGCCAGATTGTATTCCAAATGCCTTACATATATTAACTCTTTTAATCCCCCTTTTCTTAAATGATGAAATTGAGAGACAAAAAAAGTTTAAATAAAACAAACATAATAATAACAAACCCACTGCTGTCGAGTCGATTCTGACTCATAGCGACCCAACAGGGTTTCCAAGGCTATAAATCTCTACAGAAACAGACTGTCACATCTTTCTCCGGCATAGCTGCTGGTGGTTTCGAACTGCCAACCCTTTGGTTAGCAGGCTATCACTTTAACGACTGCGCCGCCAGAGCTCCTCAAATAATAATAGCTACCTTTTTTTTTTGAAAACTTAAAATGTGCCACACAATGTATAAAGCACTGAAAAGGAACAAAACAGAATTAAGGCTTTTAGTGGGGGGGGGCAATGTGAGAGATGGCAACTATCTCATTTTGTACCTCCAGGTAGGTTTTAACCCCATGAGATTCCTTCTTAAAACAAGATGCATGTAATCACCCATACACTGCAGCCATAAAAACTTTCTAAAAATTAAAACAAAAGCATGTTTTACCCAATTGTTTTCAATAGCATTAATTGATTTATTCATCAAATACCTTTGGTATCTATAGATTACCAAAATCACAGGAAACAGGAGAGATTATATTAAGGGTCAAACAGGTGC